AGCTTATAAGTTAAAAAACAAATTATACAAGCTCTAGTATCTGCACAATCATAAGCAGATGACAACAAAGGACACAAATACTGATCAAGAATAGTCCTTCATTCCACTATGCAATACAAGCCCTCCAAAAGTATCACTTACACCTTGTCCTTCTGTGTTTTACATAAGCATCCATTTCAAGCATGGCCAGGAGGAAGGAAGAAACCATTGTACGTACCTTCCAGTTCGAAGAACAAATTCTTCTGTTTCTTTGATAAGATCTTCGGTAAGCAAAGGACCCTCCTATTATCATGGACACCCAGGATATAAATAAAAATAAAATACTGATTCTTAGCCAGTATCTTTAGATCAAGTAACTAACCAAACCTGAGGGATAGGAGAGTATATTGGTTCGCCACTTTCCAGCATAAACAGATTAGGAGCCTTCGAACCAGCACCTAGCCGAAGTACAAGTTCTCCACTGCTTGTTTTGGCATATAATAAATGCCCAGGAGCATTTAGACCTTTAGCATATTCAGCAGAAAATTTACTGGCGTCCCTTAATGCAGCTTCCATTGATTCAGCAGCAATCGCATGACGCTTTTTCCTGGAAACACAGCAATTGATAACTTGAAACTGCTGGTATAGAAGGCAGGAATGGAGATCTGGAAACTCATCCAGAGGGATGCCTGGTACATGGAGTTCTTCAGCCCAGAGTCTTCTGAGCTGCATGCGTAATGGGAGACAGTTAGCTAAAATGGCTAAGGTCACAATGAAGTATCTCCATTTTGCTTTTCCTTTTCCTGAATAAGAAACTTCATAATCTAAATAACAATATTAACTTGTAGAAAGTCTCAAAAAAGTCCATAATTAACTGGGTTGTTTTGTAAGCATTACAACTAATGAATAATCAGGAATGTTGATAAAAGCTTTTGTGATATAGGGACACTGACAAATCACATATGTTTCCTAATCCAACCCTTTAAACAGGTAATCCGAAGCTTCTAGCTGACTAGATAGTACCCAGGACGTTCTACAACTGACATGTTATTTAAGTTTCCTTATTACCATCAGAATTGTATTTTATGAAAAACCATCAGGAATTTATAATAAATAGCTCACTTACTTCAGCAACAATTTTGTTCCACAGGATGGCCATTTTCCGCAATGTTCTAAAGCTTCCAATTACTTCAGATAGCTTTACCAGGAAGCTGCCAGGGGGTGCACCATGAATGTCTTTAATCAATGATAATGAATCCTCGCTACAGCTGACATTCCTCCTGAGAAAGTCTGCCTCTGCGAGAATCTTGCAGATATTACAATGGAAGTGAAAGATCATCACAGGATAGACTAAGATAGTACAGACAAACACAAACGTAGGCATAAAATGAAATTAAAATGAGACACAGTAACAACTGAGGTAAAAAAGTATCAATTTACCTGCATCAAACAACGACTGCAAGATGGACAAAACCTTCTCGTGGTTCTCAAACTCAGATGCAAGCTTCTCGTCCTTATCACGGAGCACCAATGACTTCATAGCAGCAAGGCTTAAGCTTGCCCTCTCCTTCATTGGTGAAGACCTTCCAGAAGACACCACAAGATCTTTTATTGACTTGTATTTTTTCCCCGCACTACAAAAAGGGAGCAGAAGCAAAACCATAAGTAATTGCAAAGAATTGTCCGTTACAGGAAATGTGTCTTCTAGTGAAATGCCCATGTGATTCATGGAAACAGCACAAACATGGAAGTACTTGGAGTATACAATAAAAGTGAGAAAATGAAGATACTAGACAATCAAGGAAAACTACAGCAGAATCTTACTCAATAGCGATAGCCAATTGCTTCATGACAGATGCTGGAGGGATGCTGTCTGGAGTTGTGGCATTTAATCTTTCTACTATGTAAGGTACTTGTGATGCCTACAAATGACAACCCACAAGAACCAGTGGATTTGTTTGATCCAATCAAAAAGGGAAACAACAAGCTATTAGTCCATTCACTCATCAGCATACTTCAATTTGCAAGTACTCGGGCAACGGAAAATGCACGGTATTTAACTTACCTCCAAACCTAGGACAAGAAACTTAAGCACCAAAGGAAAGGAACGGAGAAAGACAATGAAAGGGGTACGAGCAAAGTATCTCACCTTGTTCTCGGCATCATTTTTCATCTTCAGTATGTACAAATTATCATCATAAAATGCAACCGCCATCTGTGAATCATCAACTTTTTCTGCCGGGATTTCACCTCCTTTTTTCCCTATTCTAATATTTTTAAATCGGTCCTGCCAATCGTGCTTGATTCCTATGGGTGCAGGCTTCCACCTCAAGTGCTTCCCTTCATTGTTGCTCTGCACCAAGCGCAAACTACTCTATTAGCATTGAAAATTCCGCACCCTCCTTGACTAAGCTCATTCATCTCAAAGACTACTCAGAAACTAGACAGCTTCGGACTGGAAATTAAGAAGTTCTGTCATCTGCGGGCAAGAAATATCTCCATCGTTCTATATAGACAATGACTAAGCTGCTTGATTGCTGAATAAGGAAAATGGAATTTTTATTCAAACAAAAAAAAACAAGATAGAAACATCTCCCATAAGCACAAGCAACCCTAACTTGACCCAATCCACGCCATCTAATAATTTAATCCAGAAATGGAACGATTCCGCCTCTCCATTTCGTCACTCAAATTTTCTCAGCAATCAAACAGGAAAACTACAACAACAAAAAAAAATCAAAAAAATGCACTTTCAACTTCATTATCCAAACCTACATTTCACCGGAATCCAAAACGAAACAAATGAAAAAATCGGAAGTTCATCTCCCATGCTGACCTTAGACTCGCTTTCGTTCCTCGGGGACTGCTTCTCCGGCTGCTCCCTCCGTTGTTCCCTCGGCGATTGCTTGTTGTCAGCATCTACTCCGACGGAAACGCCGACAGAATGAAAATTAACAATCAGAAAATATCAACCCAAACAACAACTTGCAGACGATGGGAATAAAAATGAAGGGAAAAAAGGTGGGGAAAAAAGTCAGGGTGAAGGAGAAATTTTGAGAGCGTGACCGTAAATAGATAAACGGAAAAAAAAAAGGATGGCAGAGAAACTAGAGGACGGAAAATTAGGAACGCCGAGAAAGAAAGGGGAAGGGCTAAGAATCTGAGAGAACCTGATCGGTCGGATTTCAAATCGGTGAGAACGCGCTCGGCTCGTGCCGCAGCAGAATGGAAGGCGGTCCGTGCTTTGGAGGCAAACGAAGGAGACTCCATTGGTGAATATCAGCAGCTTCTCCTTCTCCTTCGGCCTGCCGTGGCGGGCGAGATCAGCGGAAATGAGAGTAGGTGAGAGGCGAGAATGGAGGCAGATGACGGAAAGAGAGAGAGACGGCAGGGGAAAGAGTGTTGAGAGAGTTGCGGAAATTGGAGGATGCTCTTGCTTTTTTTCTGGAAATTTTAAATTCTTCATTTTTTCTCTTTTGTTAGCAAAAAAAAAAAAAAAAAAAAATTATATGGAGGTTCATATGCCTACTTGTCACACACGTCTACACGTTTGGGTTTTAAGCAGAAATGGATGAATTTTTTATGGGAATTTTGAAGTTAAAGGTGTTTAAAGTGGATCCATGTAAATATTAGTAACCTCTTAAAAATTATCATATGGTCTCTTCCTCTACCTGGTCGGTTCAGATTCAACTTAAACACTGTTGTTTATCCTTATCGAGGTTGTGATATATATATATGGTTGGTGGTGAAGTCAGCAGATGACCGTATGCACCTTGTTATTGTTCTTCGATATCATGGGATTGCTGACTCATACCTAACTGAACAACTAGCTGCTCGAGATGGCACGCTCTCGATTTGTAAGATCGACATCCATAGTATTCCATACCGTCACACTCAAAGTGGATTACAAACTCATTGTTTGCTAGCTTTTCAGAGGGGTGGAGTCAGATGCAAGTGGAGGACCGATGCTTAGAAATTAACTGCAAATATTAATATCAGGGTACCCCTCTGCCTTTTTCTCTTCATTAATTGTGGTCAACTCATTTAAATTAAAAAATCATTCAAACCAAATAATTTTATTGATTGTAGATACTAACAAAAAAAATGTTAGCACACTAATCCCAACACTCTCTAAGCTAACCTAAAGCTATATTGATATGGGGTCGTTTGGATGAGTTAATTGTCAATGTGGTATTTGTAGAATCAAATAACTCATTTATTATTCATGTGATATTTCAGTGTTATTTCAATGGTAATTGAAATAAAGTATCTCGTTTGGTTGAACCATGCAAATTTGGTATTCGACATGTGGTATTTGGTAAAAGCAGAGTGATAAAACGAGTTATTTCGAAATAACACATGAGTATAAGTTATTTTAAATAACTCATTTTGAGTTATTTGTAAATAATTCACTGTACAAATAACCAGTGTTGTCAAAACCGAACCGGACATCGATCCGGATTAATGAGAGATTTAAGGTTTATCGGATAACCGTTGATTAACCGGTATTAAAAACCGTTCACAAACCGGTACTCGATTCTAAAAAAAGAAGAGAAAAATATAGAATAAGAATTAAAAAATATTAAAACGCTAACAATAGTGGAAGGGCTGATGTTGGGTCACATTTATTTTCACTTACCTTGTTTGCTTTTCATTATTAATCAATTAAAAAATTGCAAAAAGTAGGCGCCAGCTATATTTCCCCAGCTGCCCGTTTTCTTGCTTCCGGGGCCGGACTTGTGCCCGGGTCCGGTTTTTACCGGTCTGACCGTCCGGTCCGGTTTTAATAACACAGCAAATAACTCATTTCAATAAAACGTTACCAAACAAGTTATTTGTGCCCAAATAACTCATACAAATACTCCATCGACCCTATAAACTATTAAAGAAAAAAGGCCCTATAAACTATTAAAGAAAAAAGGAAAGGCATTGGGTTAATTGAAACAAATAGAGCCGCGCGAGTGGTTACGGAAAAGTATATAATGGAGAAAAGACAAGCGTCCCATCTCCTTCCTTCTACTGCAAGACTCAACGGTCAATACTGTTTCTGAGTCCAAGTGCGAGTTGTGCGACTCATCTCTGTCAGCTCTAAGCTAAACTCGAGCAACTAGAGAATTTGAATTCTCCGAAGATCAGCAATGGATGAGGAAATGGACGAAGCGGATACCCAATCTCAGGTCGAATTCCTGTTTATCTCATCCTTTTTTTGTTGCTTCTGCGTAGTCTATGAACCACTGCCTCAGCTAATTTTTCCGGAGGATTCGCCTTCCTAGTTCAGCTGGAGTTGATTTAGAACTTCTTCGGTTACAATCGAAATTCACGAATTCGTCGGTAGAGCATAGTAGAAAGAAGTCGTCGCACTTCAATAAGGAATTCTACTGGTTTTGGTAGCAATTTTCCGTTTGCCGGTTCTGGAATTGAGTTCGGTGGATTCGGCTTAGCTCTTTTCCTCTTTGCAACAGACGTTCTTTCCACTTAGAAAGTCATAGTGTCATGGACTTGCCCGTCGCTTGTTTGCCATTGCACATGCTTAGGGAGTTCCTGCGAACATCAACTAAACCTAGATCTGCTGTGTGGGGGAAAGGATGCGTGGATAAGTAGTTGATATTCTGGTAGAGGGAGGATGCAATGAGATCTGATTCACTGATGGAATGTACTGAATTTGTCATTGCTACATCATTTGAATTGAATGTTCATTTCTTTCAAGCAGCTGAAGTTTTGGAAATATGGTTCTGTTACAAAGTCTCTGCAGCTGACTGCTTGGATTTTTCATTTGAACATGAATGCAGGTGTATATGGCGTGCATTCTCCATGGGCATCGGTAAGTTGTTTCTTGCATGACCTGACTTTTGTTCCTATATGCATGTCTTAAGATGGAGTAGAGATGATGGAATCTTTTCAGAAATCTGTACGATATGGTGTGTGTTTGTAGTGCTTCTAAGGATGCTCTTGGATGGCATAATTTGATCTGCGGTAGTTTGATGGTCAGTGGTCACAGTGATGGTGGAAAAGGGTTAAGCTGTTGCATCTTTGTTTCCATTTTGAAGATTCATTAGGATTGATAACCAGAGCAGTCACTTGCAATCTTCCATGCAGGGTCGGAATTGCTTATTACGACTCGAGTATCCGTCAACTCCATGTCCTTGAAGTTTGGGAAGATGGCAACTCTGATTTCCCCCTAATTGATCTTGGTACATATTCTAAGCCTTCTAATGGGATGTGATCCATCTACTTGAATTATCTTTCAACTTTTCATGCTGGTATTTTCTGAAGATGCTTCCTGTAAGTTTATTTATTGGGGAAATACTTATGATTCAATCTTCTTCAGTTCTTCTGACATATATGTTATTCTTCGAAAATTTTATAGTCTCAATTATCTTCTGTTTCTGTTTGGTCCAATGGCGACTCAGTGAAGTATCAGGCTAGGCCCCAGATAATCTATGCAAGCACCAAAAGCGAAGAAAGTTTCTTATCAGCCCTGCAGCAAAATGGTATGAGGCTCTTCTATCTGGTTTACTCTGAATTAGTTGTGTGTAAGTCATATTTACTTCCTATAGTGATTCAGATGGCACGACTGAGGCCCCTACACTAAAATTGGTGAAAAGTTCTATATTCAGCTACGAACAGGCATGGCACAGGTATCCCGATTCCCTCTATCTATCTTTATTTCTGGTGGCTGGTATGAATCATATTAAGATCGCTGTCAACTTATGAATAATCCATGTTATGATCTTTAGCCTGTTTATAGCTTCTTATCGTAAAATGTTTTCCTCTGTACAAGAAGAGCGAAAAAAGCAAGATGGTGATCTATTGCTGACATTTCGCTTGGATTGCATAGGTTGATATACCTTAGAGTAACAGGAATGGATGATGGGTTAAACATCAAGGAGAGGATCTGCTACGTAAGTTGCATGCAGCAAACACTTCCCTCTCTTTTTCGAGATTCATATAGAATATTTATACCTTAACTATTAAGTTTACACTTATTCCTGCACTTTCAATCTGGTAAGTTATCATCATCAACATGATAACTTTTTTATGCCAAGCTCAATTTTGTTTCATTCTATGTAATTGGGACTTTATGTGGGCTTTATTGTTTGCATTGTTTCAGTCAGATGCTTGTGTTATTATGCCAATTTGTTAAGATATTAACAGAGGTTTGGGAACATAAACCATCTCTCGTTTTTTTATTCATTCTCTTAGTTCTTGCTAGACTAGATTATCATGTAGAACATGAATATTAAATTCCCTTTCACTTCATTTATGGGAGACTTGAAGCGGTTGGTAGTTTGATAAATCCCAACAGTATTAAATTGTGGGATTCTGATGCTTCCTTGGATAAAGTTTCTTTCTCTATCATTGCCACAGCTCAGTTCCATGATGGATATGAATAGTGAAGTTCAAGTTCGTGCCAGTGGTGGTCTTCTTGCAATATTAGAGAGTGAGATGATTGTGGATACCCTTGAGCACCAAGAATCAGGGCGACCATCAATTACCATCGACTCGTTAGCAGAAGTATCATTGTATCTTTTTGCTGGAACAGTTTATTTCTTTATACCTTTACTATCTTTTCTGTCTTGCCTTTCCATATGAAATCAATTATGCCAATGGTTCTGAAAGCGAAATTGGACTAATATACTTCCTTAACATCCGTAAGAAACAAATTTCTTAAAGTCGATGCAACAGCTCATGAGGCTTTGCAGATCTTCCTGTTGGACAAACATCCTAGCCATATGGGGATTGGTAGAGCAAAAGAAGGGTAATTACTAATTTCTCATTCCGGTGCCCTGGTCTTTACTTTTGTCTTCATGCATTTGATTCTCTGTGATCAACATGTACTGATTCTTGGCTTACAGGTTCTCTGTATTTGGCATGATGAATAAGGTTTGTCAGAAACATTTATATTTTTTATGTATACATATTTTGGTGAACTTATTTTAAGGTATTTTGTGGATTGGACTGACATAATTTTTCATACTCAGTGTCTAACTCCGGTTGGTCGACGCCTTCTGAGGTGAAACTCTCTTTAAGATGCTGCTAATTAGTTCTTCTCGTGCTTCCAACATAATAATTTATTGGTTTACATGCGTTAGAAACTGGTTTCTGCGGCCCATACTAGATTTGGAAATGTTAGATCGTCGTCTCAATGCTGTATCCTTCTGTTATTTCCAAGAAAGAAGGCTACTGAACTAAATTTCATTTGAAAATCTTACTTTGGGCGTGGATGGAATTTGGTGTTCCTTAATTGTGCTTAGATTTCATTTTTCCTATGTTCTGAAGAACTAATGGCTTCTTTACGTGCAACATTGAAGTCAATCAAGGACATTCCTTACATTTTGAAGGTACTACTTAGTATTTATTTTCTGCAAATCAATGTACTGATTTTCCTCTGATTTATATCTCATAGGTTCTTGATTCCAAGATGAAGTTTCGAGTTTAGTGCGATTGTAGCTTTGTTATAGTCTCATCGATACATGTAATCCAAATCGTAGTTGTTGGTGACGAGAAAGGATGCCTGTAAATAGCATCCTATGTTATTTGATGAATTGCATTATATCTACGTTAACTGCAGTTATTATATATCTTTTGTAACTCTAAGATGGTAACTATTACTTCTTGAAGAAATTCAACTCTCCAAGCTCCGCGTGCAACATTAGTGATTGGTCAGCCTTCTTGAAGGTAGTCCTACTCAATCATACTAGCATTTTATTTTTCAATTCTTTATTTGTTTAAACAAATTGTAAGCTGCTGACATTCAAGGTAATCCAGTGTGTTCGTAAATAGATTTATCTTTGAATCTTGAAGTCTTCCTTTGGATCTCTGTTAGAGTTTCTCTTGAATGGTTATCCGTGGATTTTTTCTTAACTATTACAGTAATCTCTCTTTTCCCAGAGCATTGGTTCGCTCCTGCATGTGGAGAAACTATTTCAGACAGGCGTTTCTGGAAACCTACAAGAGCATGCACAGTACTTAAATTTGGATATCCTCGAGCAGGTATGAAATAGTCTGGGAAAGCATTTGTGCTATTTGACTTGCCTTACTCTTGATGTCTAATTTTTCTTTGCATCTTTCATTTGTATTTCAGGCTTCATCATGCATCACTACAGAGCTAGCTTATGTCTATGAATTTGTGAGTTTTGGTGCAATCTCATCTTCTCATAATTAATTGTGCTAAGTCTTGGGTTTTTCCTGGTACAATCTCGCCTTTTGATAACTATTTCTACAATAGAATGTGTTGATTGTGGGTTTGCGTGAAGTTTCGTGAAGCCATCTTGGTTCCCTTGACCTGAAAGCTTCTTTGCCTGGGTACAGTTTTAAAGAGTTATCAGATGATCATGGATAATCAGTATCATGGAATCAGATGATCCCTTCATTTCCTAGGAGCTTTATGCTTTCATGTTCTGGTCAAGCCTTAATAGGGAAACATAATGTCTTTATATAGGGTTCTAGGAAATTGCTTGTCTGATGTGGGCCTATGATACGAGTCGTTAGTTTGTTGTCAGTATGCACATCAACAAGAAGGATGGACCATGGAAGAGTTATGAACTCTACCAAATGATGATAATATAAGACATGAGGCATATATCTTGCTCTGCGATATGTCATTGGTTCATTCCGTGCTTTTGCGCAGTAAATCTCACACCAGTGAGCTGTTGTTTTTCCGTGCTTTTGCGCTCGATGGTTCAGAGTTTTTGTTTGAATCATGCACTCGTATCATAATAGTGATGAAAATAATTACTGAAACAATGACTACTGAAGATTTAATGCTCACCTTTCTGAACGTTGCTGTTCTTTTGTTTCCATCACTTCTTATGCATGGATGCGTCTTTGGAAGGTTATTGGTATAATTGATGTTACTAGAAGCAAAGGCAAAGGTTACGAGACAATGGTAAAGGAAGGCTTATGTGAGGAGGTGCGGGATTCGTTTACCTACTCTGTATAAGATGTCTTGGTCCTCTGTTCTTCGCCTATTTCCTATGTGTTTTTCTGAAGTCTCGTAGCTGCTGAGGCTACCTGTATTCTGATATAATCTCGTAGTTTTTCTTGCTGAATATACTCTGATGCACCCATATATTTCATCAACAATTATACTGCTCACATTTAAGATTTGGGTCACTGATGTTCTGTGCCAAATCTAGCTGGATGAGCTGAGGCAAATCTACGATGAACTTCCTGAATTTCTCCAACAGGTGCCCTTTGAACCATTAGTAATCAGGAAACTTATATTAGAACTTAAAATTGATTAGCTTTTGAGATCCAAACTACTGATATAAACATTCTTTGCAGGTGTCATCAGCAGAGCTTGCACAGCTTCCTCATTTGAGTCGAGGGGAACTTCTTCCTTCTATAGTGTACATGCAGCAAATTGGTAGGTTCTTAAGTTCAGAATATCCAAGTATCCATTTAGTTCTATACATGGTGGATGGATCTTTGAGTCGAAGCGATACAATATTTTCACTTATGTTGATATCTGTGTACAAAATAGGTGGTTGTACATGTATAATGTTTTGTGCCAGAGTAGCAATAGGACGGAATCATATTTCTTGACAAGCATGACCTTTGTCTTTTTGGAGGTCCTAGTAATAAGGGTTTCAGTTATTCCCTGTTCTTTTATACTTCAGTGTTGTAGGTTTAACTATTCATTTTCTACTACTTTCCGTTTTCAGGTTATTTGTTATGCATTTTTTATGAAAAACTTGATGATATCTCACTTGCAAAGCTTCATGACTGTGAATTTGTGGTAAGTTTCTACTTGCATCATCTTTGAATCAATATCCGGAAAATCCCCACACCTTGATTTTTATAAATTGTATGCTGGATGTAGTTTTCTGATGCTGATGGGCAGACTGAAAGATTTTTTTATCGTACGCCGAAGACTAGAGAATTGGATGAACTTCTGGGAGACATATATCATAAAATTCTAGGTAAAAGTTTTAGAATTGTGTGTTTCTCATCTAATAAGTTCTATCAACCACATTTGATGAATAGCTTCGATATTGATCTCCCGAAGAAACTTCATGCTCAATGTTGACTGTATGATAACTTAGAGCAACCTAGTTCTGTACTTGGTTACAGTTCAAGAACAAGCACCAAGAAGATGTACTTGATACTTTATATCTGTAATCTTAATACTTGATGATCTTCTAACCCCCGTTTCTTGTTTTTTGTTTGCTTGCTTTTGTTTTTCCCCATTTAATCAACTATCAAAGACATGGAAAGAGCAATTACTAGAGATGTGGTCTCACATATACTTCAATTTTCCGTACAAATGCTGAAGGCGATTGATTTTGTAGCTGAACTTGATTGGTGAGAACAGTATACTCTCTCCAAACTCACTTTCTAAGAGTTTGGGGTTTTACATGATTGTACATCAAACTAACCACAACTAAGTGTTTCCTGTTCAGTCTTCTGTCATTGGCTCTTGTCGCTCGCCAGAACAACTACGTGAGACCTATTTTAACTGAAGAAACCTTGATTGATATACAAAACGGAAGGTGAGAGTTACTTCATTTACTAATATTTATTTCTATCATAGCCGTATTTGGAAGTTAACACCATCTTCCAGACATGTTTTACAGGAAATGACTGTTGACACATTCATTCCTAACGATACGAAGATTGTTGATGAGGGTAAATCAATTTAAATGATAAAAATCCCTGACAAAACATTGCATGTCCGGAAAGAATTCTAGAATTTAGGAACTATTTATTTTCTAATATCCGTGATGCTGATGCTTTAGGAAGGATCAACATCATCACTGGCCCTAACTATTCAGGGAAGAGTATCTACATTAAGCAGGTCAGTGATTATAGCCTATCCGTGCTCATTTGTCTTTCATATAGCCGATCCCGGTTATCTTACCATTATGTGGTCTATCATCTGCTCTTACTTTTTTCGCTTGTTGAATTGCTTCTTGCTTTGTCTTCAGGTGGCTTTGATCGTCTTCCTTTCCCACATTGGCAGTTTTGTTCCTGCAGATGCTGCAACTATTGGGTTGACTGACAGGTGTTCGACCTTTGACAATTCGTTTATGTCTATCAGGTTGAAAAATGTGTCTAACTGGGCCCATGAACTATTGTAACAGGATATTCTGTGCGATGGGAAGCAAACTTATGACTGCAGAACAGTCAACATTTATGATAGACCTACATCAAGTAGGAATGATGCTAAGGTACATCTAAATTGTCTAGTTGGCTTTATTTCCTTGAACTTTCTACAATTGCTTGCATGTGACGGTGATTCTTGTTGATCTTTGTGGAATTTTGCATCTTTGTTTGGAAGCTTATCCATATGTTAATGTCTTAGTAACAACGTTGCAGTTATGGAGTTATAACAAACGTAACTAGTTAAGTACAAAGCTTGTGACAATGTTTTTGTTCTCCATTTCAGGCAGTCAACCTTCCGATCCTTGTGTTTGCTGGACGAATTTGGCAAAGGTACCCTTACAGAAGGTTAGTTTGCTCGCACAATTTCATATCCGGGATTAAATCTTGGTAAATTTTCTTTTTGTTCTTTGTAATGAATTAATTCTATTTGCAATCTTAATGACTGCACTGTAGATGGCGTTGGTCTACTTGGTGGCACCATAAGTCACTTCATTGCTTCTGAGGACCCTCCTAAGGTCTGAAATTCTTCTATGCCTGCCCTGACAGCTGTTTCCTTTTAAACACTCGACTCACAGGCACAAGGTTATTTTTGTGCTAATACCTGCTACATTAACATCAATTTGTATGCTACATTAACACCTAGAACTTTCTTTTAGCGTGCTAAACAATCATGCTTTACTGAAGTACCACATCTGCATTGTGCACCAAGTCAACCCTCAGTTGCTTGGCAATGATGAAACCATCATTTGAATGCTAGTTATGTTGATAAACACTCCCAAATTGTTTGCCGAACCCATTGTCTTTGGTAAATATAAATAATTGCCACTATGTAGCAACTTAGATGAGTTGACTTAGATTTATATAATTCTCTTGCAGTCCATGTGCTCTGCCTCACAATGTTTCCCAAGTTCTCCAAGGATTTATCTGTTAAATTGATTGTGACTTCTCATTTCTAAACTCTATGATCATCTTCAAATTCCACCTTGTGGTGACAATACAATAACCAAGTTTTGATTGAGCCTAAAAGGTTGCACTAAATTTGAGCTGCAGCACAATCAGACTGTAATATTAGAAGCAGAGATAGACAAGATACAAGTTAATTAACTGTTCACCTAAGTAATTCTGGGTTTTGGATGCACGTTAACAGGTTCTGGTGTGCACTCACTTGAGCGAGCTATTCAATCAGAGTTGCTTGCCAGAGGTATAAACTCTTGCTGAGTAGCTTCCAGGATGTAGAATTGTCCTCTCTAATTGCTTTCATACTGTACAATTGAGATGTGTAACCCTTTTAACATGCAGTCTGAGAGGGTGAAGTTTTACACCATGAGCGTGTTGAGGCCTGACGACAACTCTGTGGGTTCTGAGGACATTGTTTTCCTGTACAGGTAATATAAAATCCTGTAGACTTCCTGCCACATTTAGACAGAGCTGTATAGCACATTGCTCAGAAGACTGTTTTGAAAATTGAGATTTGCATTAGAGAGCCTCTGGCGGCGTGATTGTCTTATCACATATGTCAATTTTGTTAGGTTGTTGGATTCTCATAGAAAGAGTGCGCTAAATTTTCTTTATTTTCTATAAATTATGATTATGTAACAAAATCACGCCCTAGTGCCTTCAGCCTGTGTATGTTTTCAATTATTATGTTTCTGGCAGAAGTGTCGAGGATGTTCTGAAGTATAATTGACTTAAAATGTGTTTCCAGGCTAGTTCCAGGACATGCACATCTTAGCTACGGTGAGTGTATTCAATATGTATCAAATCATACATGCTACGATCTTTTAATGACACGGACTGTGCTTCTTTTTGCAGGACTGCACTGTGCTTTACTTGCTGGTGAGTTAAAACTTAGCAACTTAACAACTTATTAAGAAAACTTCCACTTCAGTAGGTTTCCTGGGACAGTCTGCATGAGGCAAGACACCTCAACGGAGCAGGACATGTCCATAGAACGTTGAGAACATGTTTGTAGGTCAATATCACTGAATTTGGGATTTTCAGTTACACCTGACCGCTTCGTCACTGTAGGTGTTCCCGAAGAAATTGTAAGGAGGGCAGCACTCATACTGGAATCTGCCATGGAGAGCACCTCTGTGGAGCGATTGTGCAGCGACAGTATATCTGCTCAAGATCAGCTGTACAAGGTAGCTCCAGATCGATAGTGAATCATTGGTTCTGCGAGATACAGTCTTTGATTGTCCGAATCTCAGCTGGTAATATGTTTTACCCAGGATGCTGTGGACAAGATGTTGGCATTTGATGTTGACAATGGCGTTCTCAACCTCTTCTTCAAGGAGATCTCCTTCTAGTGACTGATAGCGGCGGGTCAGAGGTATCCTCTCATCTTATTCGCTTCTATAACCCAGCAAACAGGCTGTTATAAACTGCCTTTTTAACTACACAGTTTTTTGTTATACCCATTTCTTGTCTCGAAAACCTTCGGCGAAGTGAATGAATCGTGGTTCATATTTCCCATTGCTCATCAACTAGAAAATCTTGTCACCTTCCAGCATAAACCCAATATTTTTAGGACTTAAACAATGTGTCTGCATGTGGCAACTTTCATACAACCTTGGACTTACAGTTACATGCATGCATTTGCAACAACAGTCTGTCTAAACTCTGATAACCCTAAACTAAAACTACTAGCCTAGCTAGCTTCCTTCTGCTCTAAGAAGCATGCTCAGAAACTAATTTCCTGATGTTCATCGGTGCTACATATTTCGACGGACCGTCGATAATGGCATCCACCACGTGGCGGTACATCGCCTCTGTGGGATGAATCCTGTCAAAGAACATGTACTTGTTTCTGTCCTCACAATAGTCCGAGAAGGGAGTGCAAAGGAATTCAGCTTCCAATTTTCCAACCCCACAACATGCAGCCTTGGTCTCACTAAATCCTGAAACAGGAAGGAGAAAAGTACCGTGATAGGTAAAATCATTCGATTTTTCGATCTTATCATTCGACGAAATGAAAGAAAAAACTAGAGAGGAAAGTTGATGATGCCAAACCATAGCGAGATGCATTGTTGACGACGTCTAGGAAGAAAGTGTAGGCGTCGAAGTACGTGTAGCTGACACCCTTGTGCTTGGATTTGAACCGTTGCAGCATTGGCTTGAGCATTCGGTTGTACGTATCACACATGGAATTCAACTCATTGTCGCACTCCTGATTCTTGACAGGGAGCCTTCTTGCAGGAGCACATCCGAGCGCAGGGAGCCCTGTGAGGGCGAATCTACGAGCTCCATACGCGTATAACCTCTGTCCACATTTTTTAAACTGGAAGTTTAGACACTATGAATCGAGCAAACACACTGGGAACTGGGCCGAGCTTTGGTTAGGGTACCTCGAGCTGTTCTACGAGCTTGGAGGCTGTCTGGTTGGAACGATCTTGGGGGGCGAACTTCTCGCGAAGACTGTCGGAATCGTAGTAGTTGAGCATGTCGTTGCTGCCGATCACAACCAGGAACAAGGCTTTGCTCACTATGTTTTCGGTCCGGTCGTACCCTCGGAGCTTCAACAGAGTGGAGTAGACCTTGGCATAGTAATCAACTTGCTCCTCCAGCGAAATGTGAACCCCCTGCTCAAGTCAAAAAACCTAATCACAACATAACATTATAGTCTGAGAGACCTGCTAAAACAAACAGAAGATTCCAACTTACGAAAATGGATCCAGTGTTCTTCAACACACCGCAACCAGCGGAAGCGAAGTTCAAACCGGTTAAGGGGATGGACCCGGACCCGAACCCAAACCCGAACCCGAGCTCAGACACATTCTTGTTAATGTTTTGCCAGATGTGCCTGATCGATAGATATGGCGGCGGGGATGGCAGACCAAGTTTTTCAGCTGCATTATAAACCTTAATTGTTGACCCAATTATTATATCCAGTAATCAACCACAATCCATACAATAATTACATCATGCCTTAGTGCCATGGTACGAATACGATCGAGCTAAAATTGTAATCATATCACCTATATACAGGGGTTATGAACTCATCCTTTCCCCACAATTGATTGGAAAGAAACGATGTAAAATGGCAAATAGATTTTTAAAAAATGTAAAGTATGATTTTAATTTTTTTTTAATCAATTTTTTTTTAAAATGAAAGTGTGTTATATCTTATATTTTATGCTTTTGAGTTGTACTTTATCACTTCCAAAATGCCAGCTCATAGAGATTTTTCCTCTGGTTTCAAATTTTGAAGAGATTTCACTTCAAAATGACGCTATGTTTGGTCGAACTTTTATGTGTACATTTTTGTTTTAAAAGTTGAAGTTGTTGCGCCAAACAATTATGAAAATCTGACTTTTATGAAAGTTCAAACATATTTATTAATATAGAATAAAAGTACAAGCCTAGATTTAGAACTTGGGTTTAAAGTTGTTTTGAAAGTATGACATTTTCTTATGTGTTTTAATATTTTAATAGAGAAGATTATATAAATTATATTTTTTATAATTAACATAAAACGAGAAAATATTTAATATAAAAAAAGCCAACAAGCTCAGTTTTGACTGTCATTTAGGTTACTTCTTAGTTATTATAGTAAAAGGGTTTTTTTTGTTTATTAGTCAAACATTCATTTTTTTTATAGAAGTCAAACATTCATTTTATGTAGACGTGCACAAATTATGGACTTACGTACCGACCAAATCGGAAGGGATCTTGCCGTTGGAGAAGCGTCCGGTGGGTTCGCCATACGCAAAATCGACACCGTAGTGTGGGTAATTGGATTTGGCTATCGAGAAGAGGAGGTGGTTGTTGTTCCCGACGTCCACCACCGAGTCACCAAACACGAACGCCGCCGGGACCATTTGACCCTCCGAGCAGCTAATCATCGCCGCCACCGCCACCACCATCGTCGTCATGAACAGCGACCAGCGTCGACGGTAGTCCATATACAATCGAAATGAAGAAGCAGAAAGTGAAGACGCCATGGCTAATGATGCCATAAATAAACTAGTCAATTAGCTAGATTAGTTTGTTGCCTTTGAAGGCTTTATATAGGTTGAGAGTGAAGTGAGTAAAATGTAAGGAGATATAGTGGAGGGCGATTAGCTCGAGGGGTTTCAGTTTTTACTTTTCAAACGGGATTTTCGGTGGATTTGGTTGAATGTGTCATTTATCGTAACAGAGTCAGCGACCATCATGCCTGCACTACAACATAGTGGGTGGTTTAGAAATTTCGCCGACTTCACAAAAAGCAAGGTGGTTCGTAGTTCAAATTACCATGCAGTTAATTGTCGATAGATAGATAGATAGGATTGCTATATCTTTGCTTCCTCGTATTAGGGAGGACCGAGGAAATGAGGAAAACGTGACAATATAGCTACTTGTTGGATTAGACTCAACATAGATATGGTTAATGGTTTAGCAAGGAGGAGTAGCTTAATTATAGAAAACTCAACATAGATATGGTTAATGGTTTAGCAAGGAGGAGTAGCTTAATTATAGAAATTTTTGGATTAGGCTCTACAAAAAATCAAATGAATGACCTTACATTCACAAAGAATCAAAAGTCCCACGTAAGCTCATATGGTTTCACAGCAAGGAGGAGCAGCTACAGAAAATGGAAAATAGTCGGGAAAAAATGGCCCATACAGGTCTCGAACCTGTGACCTTCGCGTTATTAGCACGACGCTCTAACCAGCTGAGCTAATAGGCCAATTTGTCTATCAATTGAACTCTTATTCTACTAGTGTGTTGCATGCTACAACTTCAGCCTCCACTAATCACTATATTATTATAACACTCTATACCAACTTTTGGTTAGTTTCTGGCTTCTGTCTGAAAATTAGAATACTAGTGGACCTTGCATGAATTGGCAAGCTAATTACGTGGAAACTAATTGCCTCACGTTCATGGGTTCCACGTACTTCTAAGAACTTCTGGGAAAATATATCAAACCGTTTGTAAAATTATGAATCAAATCGAATGGTACAATATGATTTTGATTGTAGACCGTTAAGGGTAGTTTGGTTTGGTCCCGATTTATGTTATGAGATGTTTGATCTTATGATCTGGTATGGTCCAAACCACAATCTATTGAGTCGATCAGATCGTGTGGACCCAACCCACTTACAAATTCATACTAGCAACCCACTCTCCTTAGTCCTCAACAAGACTCAAGTCTCAAGTCTCAACCATAATTATGAATCTCGTCTCATTCTTCATTCACATATCATACTCTCTTAAAGGATAGAGACGATTTATGGCATTGTGGTTAGGGCTGTTAATCGGTCTCCGGTTTGTCGGTTACCACCGAAACCGAACCGAAACCGTCGGTTTTCTGACCAACCGAAAACCGTCGGTTGCTTGCGGTTGTCGGTTGCGGTTGGCTAACATCAGCCGTTGGGCAATTCGAGCGGTTAGCGGTTAAAACCGAAACCGTGCAAAGTAACCGCAAAAAACCGACCACACTTACCTGTCCTCAATACAGCGTCGTTTGGCCACCTCTCCTCCCTGACCTAATGGCGAAATCGGGGAAGGCCTCTCCTCCCTGACCTAAAATTCGTTCCCCAGTCTCCACTCTCCTCACCCGCCGCTCGTCCTCCCCATTTCGTTCCCCAGTAATCCGACCGGCGACCCTAGTCCCTACCCTCGCCGCCGCCCGCCAGTCGCCTCGTCCGGTCGTCCCCGTCGAGCTCGTCGGCCGTCGCAGCGGCAGCGCCGTCCTCACTCCTCCCGCTCCCAACCTTCGCGTCGTCTGCCCTGTTCTCCCGCCGAACAGAAGTCGCCCAACAGAAGTCGTCGTCGCCGACGCTGCCGACGCTGCCGTCTTCTGCCCCGGAATCCCGCCGTCGTCTGCCCTGTTCTCCCGCCGTCTTCTGCCCTGTTCAATCACCGATTCACCATCACCAATGTAAGTCTCCAACAGCCCCAAGAACGGAACAAAGTCGAAATCAGATGCAAGCCAGTAGATGCAAATTCATTCATTAAGTTTCTCTGTATCCCCACCGGCGGTGGTGATTGGAGATTTATCTTACCTTCTACTACCCCTTCAGGCATCATTATCTTTTGTCGCAATCAATGGTTATTCATATATATATACAGTAATACAGGCTTCATTCATATAATATATATGGTGTAGAGATGGTCATAGTCAAATGAGCAGAGCTCATATTCGTTTATGTACTTATATTTATGAAATTTATATTATATATGCATGTATATGAAGGCAAAGTAAAACGGGTTTGTCTGTTGAATATGTTGTATGGTTTTGTTGAGATTATAGACAGAAAAGTGCAGAAGTTTGTCTGAAAGCTTACTTTTCTTGTGCTATTTTAGACTGAACATTAGTAGGGATTTCGGATTTGTGATGTTGATACATGATGTTACATGATGCTAATTGTTCTTTTTACTTGTTTTTATTGATTAAAACAGGGATAGAGGTGGACGTGGTAAGAAACCACATGGTCGTGGTCGTGGAAGAGGAGAACAAGGAGCAAGAGGTGCTCCTCCTCCGGCTTCTCAGCCGCGGGTTCCTTCGCAACCTGCTACTCCTTCTACCGGAGCTACTACAGCCGGAGGAGTTACTCCAAATGTGGCGGTTGCAGCTGAGAATGTAGAAGGTATTGCAGCTGATAATGTAGCAGCACCGGCTGGAGTCGAGAATGCAAATGTGGAAGCTGGGGGAGATGCAACGGGAAGTGCAAATGATGCAGCATCAAAGAAGAGGAAAGCTGAATGTTGGAATGTCTTCAAAGCGATACTGGTTGATGGCTACCCATTTGGAGAATGTATATTATGCAAGACGAAGATTGCAGCACATCCGAAGTTTAATGGGACAAGTGCAATGAATACACATAGGAGGGCATGTGCGAGGAAAAGGCTGAAGGAGAGTGGTAGCTCTCAAACTTTGTTGAATCTGCAGTCAACATCTACAGCTACTGGTGGTCAGGTAGGATCTCTTTCGACATGGAAGTTTGATCAGACTAAAACTAGGATTGGTCTAGCTGAGATGATTATATTGGATGAGCTTCCCTTTAGATATGTCGAGCATGAAGGCTTTAGACGATTTATGGCATTGGCGCAGCCCTTGTTTGTGATACCTGGTAGGCTTACTATTGGAGCAAGATGAAGATGCCGAGATACAACGAATGGCAGTGAGAATTAAGGCGAAGGTTGCAAAGTATTGGTACGAGGCAGATAATGAGGAGAATATTAGGATGAACCGTGTGATCTACATTGCATGTGTGTTAGATCCAAGGCGCAAGTTGGCCTATGTTGAATTTGTCTTGAAGCAGATGTATGGCCAAGAAAATGGGAAGCAAATGGCTAAGGATATCAAACAAGAGATGAGTGACTTGTTTGAAGATTACAAGAAGAAGCTCCAGTCTCCACCCTCAAGTGCGCCGGATGCTGTTGCCACCTCCACAACCACTCTTAGTGGGAGTTCGAGTAGTGGTGTTGTGATGGGAGGGAAGATGACTTTTGAGTTCAAGAAGTTGAGGAAAGAAGAGCTTGATGCGGGTATTCGAAGTTCTTCAGAGCTGGACATCTATCTGAATGATGTCAATGATGCTGTTCTTTTCGATGACGAGGATGATAGCTTTGACATTCTTAAATGGTGGTCCGTCAGCAGCATTAGATATCCCGTGCTTTCTGAAATGGTGCGGGATATTTTGGCCATTCCGATTTCTTCTGTTGCCTCCGAGTCTGCTTTCAGCACAGGAGGTCGGGTGCTATCCTCATTTAGGTCCTCCTTGACCCCGAAGATGGTGGAGGCATTAATCTGTGCCGAAGATTGGATACGATTCCCTGATTCCCAATTGGTTCATGATGAAGAGGATCTCGAAGAGCTAACTGAGTTTGAAAGTGGTAATATATCATTTCTTCCTTCTAATTATGCTTTAGTTTTCATATTTGACAATTTGCCTATCTTAGTTTTCTCATTATAATCTACTTTTCATGTAGTTTATGAGGTTTTACAAGCTCGAATGGCTAATCAAAGTGGGAGTGAGTTTGATTCAGTTGATCCTACTCCTACTCCTACCCCCATAGTTGATGGACTTGATGATGTTGCTGAATATGATTCTGATGTCAATCCTGATGATGAGAATGAAGATCTTGGAGTAAATGATGACATCGGGGACGATTTGGAGCGAGATCCCCGAATTTAGGTTGATGATTTGGAGAATGAACTTGTTATTTGTGGCTTGTTGTGATTTGTGAACTTGTGACTTCTTTATTTGAATTGTTGGCATGTAAAAGATTTATGGTGTGTGATGAATGATGACTTGACTTGTGATTTAATTGTGTTTGGGTTAGACTTTATGTTCTGATTTGATAAGGGCAGCAGCAGGTTTTTATAAAAAATGCAGCAGGTGTGTGTGCAGAAAAAATGCAGCAGCCAGCAGGGGCCAGGGTGTGTCTGCTGTGTGCAGGAGATCGGTTTCATTGGTCGGTTTCTGACCGAAACCGAAAACCGGCTTCCTCTGGCGGTTTCGGCTAACCGTCCTCTCAAACCGAGACCGACGGTTTCGGTTGTCGGTTAACCGAGGACGGCGTCGGTGTCGGCTTCGGTTGGGGAAAGCGAGCGAGTTTCGGTCTCGGCTAACCGACGGTGCGGTTCGGTTAAACCGAAACCGCACCGATTAACAGCCCTAATTGTGGTGTAAGTTGGGTAGGTATAACTTTGTGACTTTGCTATTTAGTTCGATTTTGGGTATAAAATTAATTATGGATGCGTTGTGAAATTTAGGTTTTAAACCAAAAATTAGATTTTTCTGTATTCTTGGTTTGATTTTGGGTAAGGTGGGCCATAAAATTGTTCATTTTTGCTCAACCTGGTCCAACCATACCTCACAGGCATGGTTTGATTTGGACTGTCTATTATTTACCCTAATTTGTGATTTGTACTCCATCTTTTGATATGAACCATGCACCATATATATGGCCAAATTTGAACTAGACCACATTGTTTCCCAGCCATATTCAGAGTATCAACGATAACATCCATCACAAGCCGACCGATTATCGAT